CAAATAACTTTCACTTGTTTTCGCCCATTGTCGTTACGATGCAACCGAGTTGGGTTGTTTGCACCCGATACCGTGCAACGTCTATCGCGAACGAATGTGGACGCGAGGAAAGTTTAGCGAATGGTACGCTAATACGGTGAAACTTGCCGCGGGAGGTACGCGCTTCGAAATGGGTTGACTCGCGAACGCGGATACCAGTGCAAGCCGTTCGGATGCGTAAATACAGCTGTCGGTGTTACGTTCCTTTCGAAACTGGCAAATTTCTTTCTCAATTTGTCTCGAAACTTCGACGTTCCTATTTCCGCATCAATGCCAGGATACAAAGGAAGTCGTGCGGAAGAAGGGAAAGCGAGCGAGCAACGAAGACGCTAGGATTCCGACTGGCGAAGATCGAAGCGTTGGAAATAATCGGAACCGACGGGGTTCGCGACGTGTCGTGAAATCAAGCCGATGCCCCATTGCTTCTTTCCGAATCAGCGCTGGTTCCGTACCTCCGGAGCATGCCATATCAGAACGTGCCACTTGTTCCCATATTTTCTCGATTACTTTACGCGCGGAGAACCAACTGAACCTTAGAGGACCAACATTCTGCCAGATTCTCGTCTTTCGTAAAAGGGACCACACGGCCACACACTCGTATTTAGGGACCACAAGAGTAACATCGGTGCTTTTATGCAACATGATGGATTGGGGAATTAGACGTAAGGCGTGTTACGAGTCACATGTTCCTCGCTTCGTTACCGATACGTTCCAAAATTAATTTCATAGATTCGACCGGTCGAATACATTCAGCATTCTCGGCGTATCGTTTTGCGACTTTACATCTATCGATCGTTGGTAGAAATGGAAAAGGTTCTTTCTCTCTGTCCCTCTCTCTCGCGTCTCGCGTCTCGCGTCTCGTGTCTCGTGTCGATGCACGTGAACTATGTAGGTCAGTGGTTGGAGACGCGACAGGCGACACGCGAATAACAATGGTTACCTATTTTGATGGGAAACGCATTGGAAATCGGTGTCGGTACTCGATGCGTACAAACGTGGAGGGAGGAATTGAGCCAAGGAGAAGAACGAATCTTGAACAATGTCGTTCGACACGAGTACTCGTTTATTTTGGTTCGAGCGTTTCGAGCGCTCCTTTATCGGAAGCAAAGCAACGTCTGTCACGATGATTCGTATTGTTGTTTCATTTTGTTTGTAGGCTCAATCATGTTTCACGTTCGAAGAAGACCCGCGGATTACGTGCCTCGAAAGCGGAAGAAAAAACCTAATGGGAAATGGAACGAACTCGATTACAGGTTCGTGAAGGAGAGAGACGCGTACCGTAGATACGCGAAAAGGAAGATGGAACAGGTAGTCGAGATGACGAATGTGTATAGTTTCGGCAATTCGGCATTCGTAGGTACGAGGACGAAAGATTACCGTTTCTGCTGGAACTGAATCCCGACGGTAGCGACGTTCCACACGGGGCAGGAGCTCGGCACCGATTGCAGCCTAACGTGACGGAGGTAGGTTCGGAAAGGCCGATCGGTCCGCAGGCGGTTCAAGCTCAGACGCTCACTTTGAACGGACCCACCGTTATGCCGAGACACTGCGTGATCGCCTTCACCGAAAATATCGTCACTTTGACGCCTTGTTCTAGAGACGCTCACACTTATGTGAACAATCAGAGGATACATCAGACGACGATACTTCAGGTAACGCCATTTCGTTTCGTCTCGTTTCGTCTCGTCTCGTCTCGAGTCGGATTTCATCCGCTTATCGTTACAGCGAAGAATGCCTTTTGTCCGTAGAACGGTGCGGTCGTGAAGTTTGGGAGATTGCATACTTTTCGATTCATCGATCCAGCTCCCGAGGAACGTATCAGGCAACGCCACGATTCCGGAAGGCAAATCGAATACGGTTACGAACGGTAAGCGCACCGACGAGCGTCGCAAATCAGACGCGTACGCTTTTTTTGCTTGTTCGTTGTTTCGTTTCGATCGAAATTGCTAGAGTTCCCTGTCCGTTCGCGACTCGATTGCTGGCGCGACGTATCTTCCTTCCGAATAAAAGCAGAGTCGGGGATGACACAGAAACCTCGGCCTGGCCATCGAATCGCGAACGGACGATACTTGGTGTTACTCGAACATTTGGATATTTCGTAAACGTTCGCGAGCCGGACGAATCTGAGATTCGAGGGTGGACCGTTTAAAGGTAAAGGGAAAGACGGTGAATCCCGATGAGCAAGAGGCGGGGGCGACGTTCGAACGACAGAGGTGAGAATAAAAGAATGTTGGACGACCGATAGAACGAGTGGTGGCAGAGGGATAGGGGGATAAGGATAAGGTGCGTCGTTCTAGCGCTCTTCCAGCGAATCGCGATCACGCACTTTCGAGGATCCGAATTATTCGAACCCTGTATTTCCCGTATCCGAACTTTTTCTTCCTTTCCTGTCCCTTTCTCTTCTCTTCCTCTTCTCTTCCTCTTTCATTTTTTCGTTTCTCGTCTTTTCTTTTCTTCTCTTCTCCTCTCTCTCTCTCTCTCGCATCTTCTCTTCTCTTCTCTTTTGATTTCGCTCCTTTTCTCTTGCACGCGACCTGCTTTTGTACCGTAGACGATCCCCAGACTTGACCACTCAAGAAACAAACACGGAAAGATACGGGTCTGTATCTGGAACTTCGAACGGTGGGCAGATCCAAGGCGGGCAAGGCCAGTCGAGTCAAGAGCAATCCTCTCACGCGTGTAGTCGGAACAAGTCAACGGCCGTTTCCGCCGCCACTGTTTGTCTCCCTCGAAGCCCGAATCCTGTGCCGGAATCGACACACAATTACGAAACTACGTTCGATCTCGACGGAAACGTTGAGACCGCCAGTCTGACCAGCAGCAGGGACGGTAACAGGTAACGGGCAGTGGTTCCATCTCGACGAAAAACGAAAAGCGCGCTACCCTCGCGTTGTCCGCATTTTCGTAGAGCTCGCGCGAGGGTGAAATTGAGAAATGCTAGATAGTCGAAGGGGGGAAGGGTCGGGGGAATCGATAGGCGATAAGACGGCAGGAGGGATAGGAAAATAAGATGAAACGACGCGAAGCGGCGCTAAGCGAACCGAAATAACCTGTCGATGTGTGGTTTGGTGTTTCGGCAGACAATTGCAAAACGAGCGACAGCCACGCGGCACGGACCCGATTTTGCCGGCGGTGCTCGAGTTTCTCGAGGAAACGGAAGAGACTTTTTTCCACGCGGTGATTACGGATGTGGAGCCATCAGCGCCTCAGTTTAAGCTCGCTCCAACGTACACGCTTTATTTGGCGGCCAGATACCGAGCGAGCACGCATTACAGACCGGAACTGCAGCCCACGGAGAGAGCGCACAGATTGACAGTGATGTTGGGAAACGTGGCTGGTACGATACACCGAGTGATCCAGGTAACGAACACTGTCAACGTCGCGAACAGCTGGCTGGGGGGTGAGTTCGGAATGGTGCGCGCAATCCTCGATATCCGTGTATTTCCATACATACATACATACATACATACGTGAATACGTAAATGCGTAAATGCGTAAATGCGTAAATGCGTAAATGCGTAAATACATAGATGTATAGATATAATTGTAAGTATATATTGTAAGTTTTCGACGAGAGACGACAGGCGATATACGAGACGCGTGTGTTGACAGGAGCGATACATGGACGCGTCGTCTTTGGCCCTGTGGCTGGCCAACGGCTCGGAACTACTGCACATGCTCAAAAATGACCGCCACGTCGGAGCGTTCTCGACGAGGGCGCAAGACATTTTGACGGAAGCGGTTCACGAAGCGTTCGCATCGCTGGTGCGATGCATCTCTCTGGAACTCGCTCCGGCCATGTCACAGTTTATGGCGGACGCCGACGAGCCCGCGAAGGAGGCTGGAGTTCTGCAGATATTTTCGAGTACGATGGCTCTGCTGAGGCGGTGCAGAGTGAACGCTGCCCTCACGATTCAGTTGTTCAGTCACCTGTTTCACACGATAAATGCAACCGCGTTCAACGCGTTGGTTTCGAACACGAACTTGTGCGTAAGATGGTTCGGTCGTCGATTGAAAGCGAGATTGAACGCTCTCGAGACTTGGGCCGAGAGGCAAGGCCTCGAGCTTGCGAGTCAGTGTCACTTGGCGACGATCATGCAAGCGACTCATCTCCTCCAAGCGCCAAAATATAACGCGGAGGAGCTCGCTACCTTGAGTTCGACCTGTTTTAAGCTAAATTCTCTTCAAGTCAGGGCATTGTTGCAAAAATATCAGCCAGCCGCGGACGAACCGAGACTTCCGGCAGAGTTGATCGAAAACGTAGTCAGAGTAAGTCGATTGTATGTGCGGTGCTCGCGATCGCGCGCGAATTCATTCATCAGCGTACCTCGTATCGCGTTGCTTTCTTTATCTGCGCGTCTAACGTGTCGCGACGCGCCGCGTCTTGTTGCGCCTCGCGTTTCACCTTTTGTTCCGTTCCGTTCCGTTCCGTTCCGTTTCGTTTCGTTCCGTTCCGTTTCGTTTCGTTCCGTTCCGTTTCATTCCGACACTTTCAGATACGAGTGGATTGGTTCGCGATCGGTTATCTCGATTAGCTCGCGTCTCTGTTTCGTCGCATTTCGTGTTACGTTGCGTTGATATTTCAGGTGACGGAAGGCGTGGCCGATACCCTCGCACGCGCCGATGGCAGAGAGATTCGACTCGAGGAGGAACCTACCTTGGGCCTGGCTCTTCTCCTACCGGAGGACGGATACAGTTGCGAGGTGATTCGGGGCGTTCCGCCGGGACTCGCCGAGTTCTTGGCGCCTTTGCAAAGGGACGGTTTGTGTCGGATGGCGGCTCAGCCTACCAGTAGCGGATATTGGACCATATACATGATAGATCACCACAACAACGTGAGTTGTCCATCGGTCGAATTTCAGTCGAATTTCACTCGAAGTTAATCGACCGTTTGCGCAGTTTCGCAGTCCAAGCGCGATGAGTAACCGGTCAGGGGGTTATTCTTGCAACGCGGGCTCTACTGCGGTCCAACCGGAGGTTCACGTGATAAAGTTGCATAAATCATCGAATGGAATGGGCCTGAGCATCGTAGCAGCAAAGGTACACGAGGTTCTGTTGCGCGTCGGCAGTTTGGGTTACGGTTTCCACACTTTACTCGTTTTACAGGGTGCCGGGCAAGACAGACTCGGAATATACATTAAGAGTGTCGTCGCAGGCGGGGCCGCAGACGCTGTGAGTTTCAAAGTGTACACTGATACGCTCGTAAATAGTATCGGAGGGTCGGAGATACCGTTTCGTGGCGAACAGAATCCCTTTTTTCGAAACTCGCGAAACGCTCGATTCCCATTGAAATCTCCACGATTCGTTCTCTCCGTCTCTGAACTGCATTTCTCATGGTCGGCTGTACAAATCAAATCTGTTCCTTTTCTTTCGCGTTCCCGCGATGTTTACACAGGATGGTCGACTAACAGCTGGCGATCAGTTGCTGAAGGTGGATGGTCAGAGCCTGGTCGGAATCACGCAAGAAAAGTAAGTGGACTCGTCGAACGGTCCGAATCCGAATCCGAATCGGTTCGAGTTGCCGCTGTAATTTGCCACTTTTCTCAGAGCTGCCGAATACTTGGTGCGCACCGGCCCTATAGTAACTCTCGAAGTTGCCAAACAAGGAGCTATATACCACGGACTAGCCACTTTGTTGTCGCAACCGTCGCCTGTCATGACCAGAGGTACGAATTTCCTCTTTCCTCCCTCGATCCACCCATTCGGTGTGTCCACTCGGACCTAACCCAACACGCGCGCAACCGTCGTCGTCTCCGCGCGATCGGTGGAGATTCCGCGACACGGTTTCGGTTTCCTTCCTCGATCGCGTCCACTCCAACTCCATCAGAGGTGTACGTGTGTGTGTCCGACTATCGAATCGCGTATCGAACGGCGTATCGCGAGGCGACCGCTCGGAGGAACGCGCGATGCTTTGGGGGCTTACTCCGGCCGTTCTCGCTCGCATTACGCATTACTCGGTCTGGCTCGCGAGAACTCGCGAGAACTCGCGAACTGCAGACACAACCGCTTCACTAACGCTTTACTAACTAATTATTCCCGAGCAGCACACAAGAGTCGACCCAAGTCCGAGCACTTGGAGTCATCGGAGATTCGAGGAGCAAACGGGCAACCATCCACGTCGCATTCGATGGGTAATTTGTTGAGCGTACCAAGGCATCCTATCGAAACCGGGATACGTTCGATCAACGAAATATCAAGACCAGGTGCGATTCACTCTTCGTGTTCCGAGATGCAAATCGACAGGCTGAACGACCGTTCGCACGACTCTCGCGATTCGCGTCCCCTCGCGCTTCTTCCATGCGGCGAAATCTCGATTCGTCTCGTGGACGCGTCGTCGATCGAGCGACTTTGCGACACGACAGCAACAGCGACGGAGACAGCGACGGCGACAGCGTCGCGATGCGCGGTACTCGGAGGAAAGGAAAGTCTGGTCGGCACGGCTCCGCGTTCGACGCACACCGTTTCCCCTTGGCACGCGCGAATCGCCGATCTACCCTTTTCGCCGATCGTGACCACGACCGCTACTTCGTCGAGGCGCGACTCGAGTGAAGTTTCGAGCAAAACGAGCACAGTTGCCGGAACCCTTTCCCTCGATTCTATTCCTTACATCGACCAACCGATCGAACCTCTGTCCGACGAACCGCTTGAATTGGACGAATTCGATCAACTCGTGGATTCGAACGAGTTGGACGAATTGGAGGAATTCGAGGAACTGGACGAACGCGTCGATGGTCAGAGGGATGCCACGATAATCGCAGCGAGCGACATTTCCCGGATCGATTCCGTGGACTCGCTGCGTCGGTTTCGGTTCAACTTTGACGATTACGCGATCGACGAACCGATCTACGAACCGATCTACGAACCGATCGACGAACCGATCGACGCGATGGAATCGAGCTGCCGAGGTACGGCTGAGCGGCAGCGATTCGCCGACGCCGCCCGGGAAGAAGGGCAACGACGAATCGCGAACGCGAGTCGAAACCTCGAACACGCCGATCGAGACGAGACCGCGAAGTTGGCAGCAACGGAGGACGAGGATCCACGGGAATCGAGGGAACTCGGTGAAACGACAGTCGGGAAGCAGACCGTCCCGGTGGCCAACGCGTTCACCACTATCCCGGAATTGAACCTCGACTTATCCGGCTTGGACAACGACGCTTCGAACGACGCGCCGAGTTACGACAAGCGTTGGAAGTCACCGGAAGAGGTGCGCCTCGGATACGGCAGAGTGGCGGCATTGGCTAGACATTTCTCCGCGTTGAGTAACGCGGATCTGGTCGAGGCGGTAGACGTCGGACCGTTGGCCGGCAATCGCGGAAAGTTTCCCTCTGAACCGAACTTTGTCTCGCCGGAAGTCCACGAGATACGATCGAGATCGGGACATCGGTTTCCCAACGTCGGCAAAGAGTGTCTGTCCGAGTTGAATTTGAGACGAAGATTACGAGAGTGCGAAGCGAGCGGCGACGCGGCGAGTTGGTCGCGTCGTTACCTGTTGGTCGCGAGGGATAAAGTTCGTACCGCGAACACACCGCGGGAAGGTGGTGTTCCTCGAGACGACGGCTGCGAGCGGCACTCGTCCCCACGGCGAGTTCGCGGCCAGCCCGAGAAACGGCCGGACAGAGAGGACAGGCTGTCGTTGCACGAGCAGCGACAAATCATCCGACAACTCGAGAAAATGTCGAACCTCGACGACCCTTTTGTCGCCGCAGCCACCGCAGCCGCCGCCGCCGCCGCCGCGGATACGGCTTCTCCTTACTCGTCGAACTGCAGGCTCGGCGGCGAGTTTGCGCCTCTGGTTCGAAAGAACCTCGCGGTAGCCGACTCGCGCGAGATTCGGCTCGAATGGCCCCGACGATTCTCCGATTCCTATCCGACTCTGAACGAGTCGCGTCCGTCGGCGAAGGGAAAGATCAAGATGGGTCAACGCTCGCGATCGATCGACCGCGACGAAGATAGCGAGGACGTTTCGATTGGCGACTCGGGCTGGGGTAAATGTTGGGTCGATAGAGTTTCGTTACGCGTCGCCGGCGAGCCAAGATCGGTTATTCCAGACACGAAAAATCTTTGTTCTCCGAACGATTACGGTCAGATTCGAGAAAGACCGAGCGGCGACAACGGTCAGCACCAAGAGGCGCTGTCGGTGAGCAACCACGCAGGGCCGAACGAGTCCATCGTGCATCGACGGAACTCGACCGATCGGAACTTGACGTTTCGCACGGCGTTAGATCGAACTTCTGTGCAAATCGAATCCGTTTTACGTAAGCAACCGGCGCTCTATGCTCGCTCTATAGTTTCTTCGAACTACAATAGTTGAAATTCACGTGCCTGCCGAAATTGAAAGTGATCTCGTTGTACACGGCACGCTTGTCGATATTCACCTGGAGGGATCGCGGAAGCTCGCCGAGCTTCCGATTCCGTCCCGCCAGTTTCAGCACGCATGCCAAAGTCTTGTCGTCTCCAGGTTAACCGCGTATAGTCGAATTCGAGGCACCGATCGTGATTGCGATCAAGATTCGTATCGGAATAACGATAAACGAGTGTCCCGCAAACGGGATGCGCGCCGTACAGATACCGTTAACTCAACTGTTGGAGCTTGTTGCACGCATACGATCCTCCTTTTAACTTGTTTCGACTTGATTCGACGATCAGACCCCCTCGATATTCGTTACGGCGTTGTCGCGATCGCTTTCTAATCTTCCATTTCTTACGAGCGATCAGCGTGCTTTGCCTCTCGTCAGCAATTTCCCGTACACTCTTGTAGAATCGATGAAACCTGGACGAATCGTGCGATAAGAGAGATTCCTGCAACCCCCCGTTCGTTTTCTTAGGACGCGTGCGTTGTTGCTTTCGCTTTCTCCTTTCGCTTTTCCGTTTGATCTTCCGTTTCTTTCCGTTCGTTCCGGCTTTCTTACTCGTGCACACCCGATTACGTGTCCGAGCGAATGTTACGAATGTAGTGGATAATCGTTACACGTTGTCAGTTTACACGCATGTTCGTGCTTGTTCCACGCGCCCGACTAGTTGCATGAGCTGTTGCTTGCATCGAGAACTCTAAAGAAAACTGTGTTTTTGCATCTTGTGCTTACCGCAGGACCTCGTCGCATGAGCGAACGAGATTTACCGTCACGGCTTGGACGCGACGCCGCTGCTCCTCAGCAACAAATGCATACCAGCAAGTCCGTGCCAGCATTGCACAGTAAGTAACTCGACGACGATATTACTTTACCGAGCCGATTCCCCTCGAAACTTGTTCTCCTTTTGTTTCGTCGTGCGCGTATCTCGCTTCGCATCGCGTTCTTTACTTTTTCGTTCAAACACTTTCTCCTCGTCGCTCGCTCGTCGTCGACGCGGGAACCGTGTAAATCGTCCAACGCGTTCAACGAGTCGACGCGAGCCACGGAGGATGATCTTTTGTACCGAGCAATCGTTTGCAGACGTGGGTACCGAAGGAAAGCAACAGCACGAGGTGTTCAACCCTGGATACAGCAGAGCATCGTCCAGCAACAGCGTGACGCCACCTGTCGCGCAACCTCCCTCGATGATCGCGATCAACGGCACGACGACGTTGCGTTCTCGGTAAATATCTCTTCTAGCTCGCGCAACTCTGCTATCGGACCGTACAACGATATTTTATTGGTTATAGTTCGAGCCACAACCTGCACGACCCGATAAGAATCGGAACATTGCCGCCCAGCGGTCTCGTGAGCAGGCAACAATCTTCGCCGAATCTGAATCCGTGTCAGACTGCCGGGAACAACAGCAGTTCGAACACAATTGGAATAGCTGGCTCTGCCACGCTTCCGAACAACGAAGCCGAAAGATTTTACCAAAATTTGAGCGTCTACCGAAACCAGGACCCAACCGCGAAACATCGATGTAGCCCGTCACAGTTTTTGGACGAAAGGTACAAAATTCTCTCTCTCTCTCTCGTTCGTTGTTTGTCTCTCTAGGTAGACGACGG